GGTTATGTATATCGCAGTCAACGGTGATCAACACGGTCAATACAGTATGTCAGTACTGTCAGTAGCGTTTGGATGTATGACGCTTGTAATTGAAACTGTTCAAAGTACAAAATTTCAGCCGCGATAACGAGCAACAAATCTGTCGCCTCTTTGGCTGTTAACTAACGACAGCCAATGACAATCGTGTTGTCTTCTAGGATTATCTTGTTATTGGCTGTCGCTAGTTAACAATAGCGATAATCATCGATAAGACGTTTAGAGAATCCCGCTACTTCGAGATATCGGAGGCATCCGAGCGACGTTTCCGAACGCAGCTTGTGTTATGAATGACTGATTCTGTTTCTTTCTTCAGTGTTTTTGCTTTTTAGTGTAATACTTTATACTTACATAGAATAATAATAAAATACGAGTAATTAATGCTCTAATATATTGCAGTATAATCTTCTTCCAATAAATCCATTGTAGTAAGAATATTTCTACAATGAATCAGGATAATCGGGATAACAAAGAATCTCCAATAAAGGTTAATCTAGTGATGTTTGTTTACGAATATTTTTAATTGTATAATTTGTGCATTTTATAATAAATTTTTTTTAATAAAGTCTCTTTTACATCTTTAAGTATTTTTTAAATATTTTATGGTATAACGTATATTTCTTTATACCGTGTATTGTTTTGAATGTACAGAGATATAAAAGGAAAGAGGAAGAAGACAGCCCTTTGGATACTGACGATGATTACCAACCGTATGTACCTGTTAAGCATCGTAAAAAGCAATTGCTTATGAAATTGGGTAAACTCGGACAATTAAAAGAAGAAGCTACTAATGGCATCGGGAAGAGTAGTAGTGAGAATGAGAAAGATGATGCTGATAATGATGATGGACAGGTTTGGGGAAGGAAATCAAATATCTCTCTTCTTGACCAACACACCGAATTGAAGAAATTGGCTGAAGGTGCAGAATCTCCATGAATAGAGTTTTAATGAGTAATGAAAAAGTATTACAATTTAATTAAGACTTATTCATAAAATTCTGTTAACAGCCAAGAAGGAGAGTGCCATGGAGAAGCAGTTGAAGGAGGAGGAGAAGATTCTGGAAAGTGTGGCTGAGAATAAAGCTCTAATGGGTGTGGCTGAATTAGCCAAGGGTATTCAATACAAGGATTCTATCAAGACCAATTGGCAACCGCCAAGAGTGATACTTAATCTTGGTGAGATGCGTCACGAGAGAGTACGTAGAAAGCTTAGAATACTTGTGGAAGGTGACGAAGTACCGCCACCCTTGAAAACTTTTAAGGAAATGAAATTTCATAAAGGAATCTTATATGGATTGGAACGGAAGGGTATCATCAAGCCAACTCCAATTCAAGTTCAAGGAATACCCACAGTGTGAGTCTCCAATTGATGTTATAATTACGGTTATTATTCTTCTTAATTGTGTAATATACATTCAATGTAAATAATATAAATGTGTAAATATGCACAGATTGTCTGGTCGCGACATGATTGGTATAGCTTCTACTGGTAGTGGTAAAACATTGGTGTTTGTTTTACCTATCATTGAATTTTGTCTGGAACAAGAAATCGATATGCCATTCATTAAAAAGGAGGGACCTTATGGTAAATATTTACAATAATAAACAGAATTATTGATATTAATATATATACATATATATAAATAAGTATTAATATTTTTTTATTCATAGGCTTGATAATATGTCCTTCAAGAGAATTGGCTAAGCAAACCTATGACATAATTCGGCACTACACCAATAGCTTAAGACAAACGGACTGTCCAGAAATACGTTGTTGCTTGGCAATAGGAGGTGTGCCAGTTTCAGAATCGTTAGCTATAATCAACAAGTTAGTGATTATTATTGTTAATTATATTTTTTATATTTTTATCTCTAATATGTTGCTACTTATTTTTTATTATTCATAGAGGTGTACATATAATGGTAGCAACACCGGGACGATTGATGGATATGTTACATAAAAAGATGGTTACTTTAAGTGTATGCCGTTATCTTTGCATGGACGAGGCAGATCGCATGATAGATATGGGATTCGAAGAAGATGTTCGAACAATATTTTCTTTTTTCAAGGTAACTACTATTTTGTACTTTCTCATGCATTTTACGCAAGATGAAAAGATTAAATGTTTATTAAAATAATAATAATAATGTTGCCTGTTACAGGGTCAGAGGCAAACGCTTTTATTCTCTGCTACTATGCCGAAAAGAATTCAAAATTTTGCGCGTTCAGCATTGGTGAAACCTGTAACTATAAATGTTGGCCGGGCTGGTGCTGCGTCAATGAACGTAATACAAGAGGTGGAATATGTCAAGCAAGAGGCTAAGATTGTTTATCTCTTGGAATGTCTGCAAAAAACTGCACCGCCAGTCTTAATATTCGCAGAGAAGAAACGTGATGTGGATGCCATCCATGAGTATCTGCTTATAAAAGGAGTGGAAGCTGTTGCGATACATGGAGGAATAGGTACAATATGTTAGATAAACTACATTTTATTGAACATTAATATATTGATATAAAATTATTGCAAAATTACTGATCGATCATATTAATTCTTCACAATTAAAATCTCTCCCCCTGCCCCCTCTCTCTCTCTCCCTCTTCCTCTTCCCCTCTCCCTCTCCATCTCTCCCTCTCCTTCTCCCTCCCCCCTCTCTCTCTCTCTCTCTCAATGTAAATTAAATATATTCATTCATTTTATTATATTTTTTCAGATCAGGAAGAAAGATCACGTTCAGTGGAAGCGTTTCGCGCAGGTCGAAAAGACGTACTCGTTGCGACAGACGTTGCATCAAAGGGTCTCGATTTTGCCGATGTGCAACACGTTATTAATTACGACATGCCAGACGACGTAGAAAATTACGGTAATATATACGTGATAAATGAAAAATGATGATTTCGAAAAAGAGATGTTTAACGTAATTTTGTAATTTTTAGTACACAGGATAGGACGAACAGGCCGTTCCGGACGTACTGGTATAGCAACGACTTTCATTAATAAAGCAAATGATGAATCAGTATTGCTCGATCTTAAACATTTACTAATGGAAGCAAAGCAAAAGGTGCCACCATTCTTGCTGGAACTTTGCTCTGAGAATGAAAAATATCTCAATCTGGGAGGTAAGATATATATACATTTTTTTTTTATAAATTTATGTCGCTATTTCTTGTAATTCTAAAGATATCTTTCTTGTTTTATCGCAGACGAACGCGGATGCAGTTATTGTGGTGGACTCGGACACAGGATCACAGAGTGTCCAAAATTGGAGGCTGTACAAAACAAGCAAGCGTCCAATATCGGACGTCGCGATTATCTGGCTAGTAATGCCGCCGATTATTAAGTGACGTATTTTAAAATTGTATTGTAAATATGTATAGTACATACAGAGTGAGTAAAAAGTTTCGGACGATTAAAATATCTCGAAAACAAAATATTTTTGGGAAAAAATGATTCAGACAAAAATTGTAAGGTTTAAAAATATCTATTTATTGATCACATTTATTTGATTTTGAGTGGCATCGCCAAGGTCAGGTCAATCGATTTTTTTAAATAGGAAACCCTATTTTTTATTCCAGAATCTAATAGCCAATGTCAAGACTTTTCAAAAATAATAAAGTTCATTTTCATTAAGTACTTCTCGTAAGTACTTAAAGTTATAAAGTTTAAAATTTACAGTACCGTCGACATTATCATTATCCAAAAAATATCCAACTGACTTAGATTTATAATATCTGTAACATTTTTTATGATTTAGATAACATTTGTTAAGATTGACATGAAGGTTGCTTCTCTTATTTCCATTTTTACATAAAAATGAATTTTAGTGCAAAAATGAAAATAAGAAGAATAATCTCCAATATAGCTTTGATCTTGACAAGTGTTTAGGTAATGATCCTGAACAACTTTCACGTTTTAATTATTGGTTCGATACTTTATATATTGTTTTATACTTACAGAGTCTTATTATTATTTATTAATCTTAATTGTACTGTTTTGAAAAACTCTTGATCATTAGATTCTGGAATAAAACATAAGATATCCCATTAAAAAAAATCGATGTGACTTTGACACTAACCTTGGCAACACCATCCAAGGTCAAATAGTATAAATAGATCTTTCAAAACTCTACAACTTTTGTCTGAATCATTTTTCATCAAAATATTTTGTTTTCGAGATATTTCACCTATCCAGGATTTCTTATTCACTTTGTATATGAAAATCCATTCCTGTGATTATTAATGTATATAGACAATAGTAAAAAAAATAAAACAAAATAAATATTTGAACTAAATGCTATATTTTTATCTGCTACAATTGTTTTATTTATTGTATTGCCATTTTTTAGTCTTTAGTTTTCAACATAAAAAACTTTTGATAAATGTTTACAATAGGGAATCCGGCTCTGATGATCTTGATCTTGACATATGTTATTAAAGTCATGATCTCTAATAAGTGTTAGTAAGTGCTTGTTACTTTTGTTAGAAAATTATTAACCTTTAGACTGCCGGCATCTTTTCATTAAAATACTGATTCTTTTTTCTCAAAAATTTTTCTATATAAGTAACATATACATGGCGCAAAATTTCGAGATTTATGCAGAGCCGCAAAGGTGGCTTTCTCTGCAAGGAATACACGATCAAATATAAAAAATGTTTATTTTCTGAAAAACAAGTTTTTACAAGAACGAAGAACTCTTAATTAAAAAACAATAGGGAGTATACAGGGCAGATAAGAGTCAAATATAATG